ATAAAGTCCCATTGTTCTGAATAGTTTTAATCTCTGTAGCTGTTGTTTGTTAATAGCTAACTTAACCTGAGAAAGGGCATTTTTTGCCTTAGATGTTAACTGCCTAAGATGATTTGGATTTGCATCTCCTCTCAGAATATTAAAAAGAGGATAAAGATCAGCAGTTGTAAGTTTTAGATAAGGTCTGAACCAATTTATGTCTCCCAACAGTTTTTTAAAATCATTTAAAATTTTGAGATTATCAGTTCTTAATTGTAGGTACTGGGGCAAACTGAAGTAGTATTAACAATGTATACCATGTAATTTACTGGAGGATCTGTCTGAATTTTTTTTTTTGGGGGGGGGCTATTATAAGCCCGAAATTTTGTAAGCAAGAAGTTAAGGCATTTAAAGCCTGATTTAACCAGTAATATTGTGAGTGGCTCGTTAAAATATCATCCATATAACTTATGTAATAAATCCAAGGGAACATCTTTTTAAATTTAGTTAAGGCGAGATTCACAATTTTTTTTGAAATAATGTAATAGTTTATTTGGATGTCATTTTGTGCATATTTCCATCTCAGTTGCAATTCCCGTGGGTTTCCTATCACCAAATCACCCATGTGCCATCACCATAGACCAGTGCATCCCCCCCACACACACACGATGTTTTTGATCCCATTCCCCACTCCACCCATAAATGTCCCTGGTATATAGCTGCTCATTATTATTATTATTTTTCTCACCTGGTCCATTATACTCCTGATATGAGTGAACCCATCCAGTATTTTTCCTTTTCTTTCTGGCTTATTTCACTAAGCATGCAGATCCATAAATTTTTGACACAAAGTTGGACTATTTTTATATCCTGAGGCAACACCATCCACTGGAACCTTCGATATGGACACTTAAAGTTTGAGGATGGGCCGCTAAAGGCAAACCTCTTACAATCCTGAGAAGCTAAAGGAATAGTGAAAAAAGTCTTGTAAATCTATAACTGTGACATGATTTTCTTTTGGAACACCGACAGGAGATGGCAGTCCTGACTGTAAGCTTTTGATCGTTTTTATGGTTATATTAATAGCACTCAAATTTTGTAACAATCTTCATTTGTCCAATTTTTTAATACATATATATAACAAATATTGGAGTATTCCATGGACAGTTTGTGGGCTCTATGTGCCCTTTAGATACTTGTTTTTGTATAAGAACTGTTTTTAGCATTAATTTTATTTTATTGGTAAAATCAGAATCAATAACACCAGGTATAATTTCTATTTTTTGTAATGAAGTAGAACTTTGACCTAAAAAAAGGCCGACAGTATTGGGAGGAAGATTTCCATACACTCCAGCTGTTACAGTGTTGTAGGATTGATCTGAGGTTAATATTGCTGAGGAGGTGGAACAGAAGTCCAATCCTGTGCTGTCTGGGGTGGCCCTGAGGAGGCCAAGTAGTACTCCTCATTTAAGAAAGGGTTGTCGTTGCTGCTGCCAGTTATTTGTGTGGCCTGGATTTGGCCCCTTGCCCAGTTTGTTGAATTATTTTGAGCAGTTATGGGCAAGCCAGAATTATTGTTATTAATTTTTCTTCATAAGGTATCAGTAAAGTTTTATTTTTATGGAATTTAGATTGACATTTTCTGGCCAAATGGAGACCTTTACTACATCATGGACATATTATATAGTTTTTGGAGGATTTTTATTGTTTGAAAGCTAAGAGCCAGCCTGTTTATAAGCTGCCCCTAGCTTAGTGGGATAATCTCTGCAAAAATGTCCTGGTTGACAAAGCATCAGAAGTAAGTTTTAGCATTTGTTTCACCAGCTTGAACTCCCTTAGGACTGTTTAAATTGACAAACCATTGGCTTCTGGTCTGTCCTTTAAGAGCAACCATAATTGCTACTTCTTGTAAATAAGAAGGTGTTATTTTAGAACAAACTTTTTTTTTAAGATTTATTTATTTATTCATATGGAACTGGGGTTCAGGCCAGAGATGTGGAGGGTGAGAGGATTCACCAGAGACAGAGAGGGGAGCAGAACAAGCAGATCCACGAAGTACACTGCTGAGGGGAGCAGCGCGTGGGTCAGGAGAGGTCTGCCGCGCCATGTGGATCTCCTCCGGGCAGGCAGGCAGGCGGGAATAGAACTCATGCCGAAATGGCTTCAGCTTCTTAGTGCTATGCTTTAACCCGCTGCGCCATCAGGGACGGCCCTGGAACAAACTTTTACAAAGTCATTTATATTGTTTGTCTTTTTAATAGGTTGTATTAAAGTTTGACTTGGACAGGATCAATAAGTTTTGTTAAGAAATCTTGATAAGGTTCTTTTGGGCCCTGTCTTATGTTACTCAGACCAGATGCTTTAATTTTTCCACTTGGTAGCTGCTTTTATGTATTTATCATCACCTCTGTGTACTGAAGCAAAGCCTTGGAAGGCAAATGAAGCTGATCTTTATTATGAGCCCAATTATTGTCAGCCATTAATATATCGATGGTGACTCTATGCTGTCTCAGTTTTTTATTATATTTTGTCATTTGTTTGGCCTCCTCCTCATAGTTTGTCTTTCACAACAAACATACCCCAGCCAGCAAACAGGATTTAGCAGCTTGGTGTCCATCATGAGGTGTCATTCACCTTTCCACTATTGACTCAACCAATTGCATGGTTTAAGGTGAGGTGGGACCATAAACAGAAACTGTCTTTTTAAGTTTTTTTTTTTTTTTAACAATTTAAAGGAAAGAGGTTCCCATTGTGGTTCAGAACAGGAAAATATTTAGAAGTGAAATCTCTACCTAGATAACCTCCTGTATTGATCCCTCAAAGCCTGATTTTATTACATGAAGTAGAGTTTTTTTATGGGTAAATTTTTTTTTTTGTTAAAGTTTCCTTTTGATTTTTGGGCATTAATTTGGCTAAATCTAAATTTGGGTTTGAGGCATTAGCAAGACAATTTCAATAGTTGTTGGTATATTTAATTTTTTTTCTTAAGAAGTGTTTTTTTCTCTGGGATCAATTTATACCTTTTTTTTAATGTTTTTTGTCTTTTTGTCTGATTATTAGCCTGACCTATACCCACCTGATTTTCCACAAATGTGTCAGTGCTAGGGAAATGTACAAGAGGTGTAGCTGCATCATTAATCTCTTTTAACCTTTTATTAATAACTTGTGGCTCTGGCAAAGTATCTAGCAAGAGTCCCCACAAGGTAAATGTTTTAACAGATATGTTTTTAGGCCCACTTACGCCTCATTTCTTTTTTCACCTTATTTCAAGTTTGTGCATCCAGGCTCCCACCCCTAGGAAAGAAGGGACAACATATCTTTACAAAATCTAAGAAACTACCTAACTGTGTATGAGTTATTTCAGTTTTTCTTTTTATAAGCATATATTTAATGATATCAATAAAGTATCGCTTTTCCTTTGACTTATTATGACCTGTGACTTTTTTTAAAAGTTTACTATTCCTCTTACTCTGCTACTCTCTGTAGAGAGGCATGTGCCCTACCCGTGAGCAGAAGTCTAACCATCACTGAATGAAAAGAATCTTAACCTTACAGGTCCCTGTTTGGGCACCACATTGTTAAAGACCAGATCCAACATTTGGGATGACAGGTTTCTGCAGTAAATGATGGCATAGATGAAGGTGAATGAGGGACACAAACACTCATTCAGGTGCAAGTGTCATCTCCCAAGAGTCTCAACAGGTCTTATTTTTATTTTAGCAAGCAGTGGGATTATATCAGCATGTGCACTGAGAGAAGGAGGAAAAAAATAACTATCCCATTTTCCTAAGAACACTTTGAGGTCTTTTGACCTTTATCCAAGATTATAACACTTGTTATTTTTTTAAGAAAAACACAGCTAACAAGCAAAATGTTCTTATTATGATTATTCTGTTTTGCAGCTGGGCAAACAATTTAACAACAATAAAGCAGGCAGATGAATTTGTATAGTTACAACTAACATTTATATTTATATTATAGTGAAAATCCATTTATATTATAATAAAAAGTAGCAAAACAAGAGGAAAACTTCTTTTATCTCTAGTTACTAAGGGTCCTCATTCTCATTAAAGCATCCTATAAAGATTAAAGTAAGGTCAATGTAAGAAATGAAAACATTTGCTTTACTCAGTTCTAACACTAAAAAGGAGTTTCTCATTGAAGGCTGAACAAAAAAAGTTTAAACTTTCTGGTTCACAAAATTGTCCACCCCCCACACACACACTGGAGCTTAATTTAGTGTGCACATCTGGAAGATAGTAGAAAGAGGGAAACTTAATTATTTGGTTTGGGCAGGAAAAAAAGGCTCTAGCTATTTTTACAATATGTTATTAGCACTATCTGGCTTTGCTATATTAACTTTATAGTGACAGCCAATTGCTTTTATTAAAACATCCAAATATAAAATCAATTTTTACTTCATCAAATGCATCCAAATGCAAAAATGGTTGCAGTTCCAGGAGTGGCCAAAACAAAGAGATCCAGAAGGAGCCAGCTTCAGGCTCCATGACTTTTCAAGGGTACCCCCTCATACCTGGACTTTGTTGGGTCGTATGAGATGTTTGGCCTGTGCCATCCTTCTTTTCTTCTCCATGAAAACCTTTCTGTCTTTCGAAAGAGAAAGAAAAATACCGGATGGTTTCACTCATAGCAGGAGTATAATGGACCAGGCGAGAAAATAACAAAAATAATGAACAAC